TATGTGAAAACGCAATCTGTAGTCGCTGACCATACATATGTAAATGTGTGAAAATGCAATGTGTAGTCACTGACCGTACATATGTGAATGTGTGAAAAATCAATGTGTAGTCGCTGACCGTACATATGTGAATGTATGAAAACGCAATGTGTAGTCGCTGACCGTACATATGTGAATGTGTGAAAACGCAATGTGTAGTCGCTGACCATACATATGTGAATGTGTGAAAACGCAATGTGTAGTCGCTGACCATACATATGTAAATGTGTGAAAACGCAATGTGTAGTCGCTGACCATACATATGTGAATGTGTGAAAACACAATGTGTAGTCGCTGACCATACATATGTGAATGTGCGAAAATGCAATGTGTAGTCGCTGGCCATACATGTACATATGTAAATGTGTGAAAACGCAATGTGTAGTCGCTGACCGTGAATGTGTGAAAACGCAATGTGTAGTCGCTGACCATACATATGTAAATGTGTGAAAACACAATGTGTAGTCGCTGACCATACATATGTGAATGTGCGAAAATGCAATGTGTAGTCGCTGGCCATACATGTACATATGTAAATGTGTGAAAACGCAATGTGTAGTCGCTGACCGTGAATGTGTGAAAATGCAATGTGTAGTCGCTGACCATACATATGTAAATGTGTGAAAATGCAATGTGTAGTCGCTGACCGTGAATGTGTGAAAATGCAATGTGTAGTCGCTGACCATACATATGTGAATGTGTGAAAATGCAATGTGTAGTCGCTGACCATACATGTACATATGTAAATGTGTGAAAATGCAATGCGTAGTCACTGACCATACATGTACATATGTAAATGTGTGAAAATGCAATGTGTAGTCGCTGACCGTACATATGTGAATGTGTGAAAAATCAATGTGTAGTCGCTGACCGTACATATGTAAATGTGTGAAAACGCAATGTGTAGTCGCTGACTGTACATATGTGAATGTGTGAAAATGCAATGTGTAGTCGCTGACCATACATATGTGAATGTGTGAATACACAATGTGTAGTCGCTGACCATACATATGTAAATGTGTGAAAACGCAATGTGTAGTCACTGACCATACATATGTGAATGTGTGAAAACGCAATGTGTAGTCGCTGACCATACATGTAAATATGTAAATGTGTGAAAACGCAATGTGTAGTCGCTGACCGTGAATGTGTGAAAACGCAATGTGTAGTCGCTGATCATACATATGTAGATGTGTGAAAACGCAATGTGCAGTCGCTGACCATACCTATGTTAGCGTGTGAAAATGCAATGTGTAGTCGCTGACCATACATATGAAAATCTTTGTAAACACAATGTGTAGTCGCTGACCATACATATGTAAATATGTGTAAACGCAATGTGTAGTTGCTGACCATACATATGTTAGCGTGTGAAAACGCAATGTGTAGTCGCTGACCATACCTATGTTAGCGTGTGAAAATGCAATGTGTAGTCGCTGACCATACATATGTAAATCTTTGTAAACGCAATGTGTAGTCGCTGACCATACATATGTAAATGTGTGAAAACGCAATGTGTAGTCTTAGACAGTACATATGTAAATGTGTGAAAACGCAATGTGTAGTCACTGACCATACCTATGTAAATGTGTGAAAACACAATGTGTAGTCACTGACCATACCTATGTTAGAGTGTGAAAACGCAATGTGTAGTCTTAGACCGTACATATGTAAATGTGTGAAAACGCAATGTGTAGTCTTAGACCGTACATATGTAAATGTGTGAAAACGCAATGTGTAGTCACTGACCATACCTATGTAAATGTGTGAAAACACAATGTGTAGTCACTGACCATACCTATGTAAATATGTGAAAACGCAATGCGTAGTCTTAGACCGTACATATGTAAATGTGTGAAAACGCAATGTGTAGTCTTAGACCGTACATATGTAAATGTATTGTATCATTCGTTTACATGTGTTAGTACTGATGTACTGTTCTAATGTCACAAATAACAAAAAAATATTACGGTTTTATTTTGCCAAATCATCCACTTGATGGAAAAATCACCTTGTTTATTTTCTACATTACCGGTATAACTCAACTATGTTTTGTACTTGCCCTTCATAAATCAAACAAATCATATTTCATGAACACAGAATATTTTTTATTTTTTTAGCTCCGCTGTCGCTGTCGGAGCTTATCATATGAGTGATTGTCCGTCATCCATGTCAATGTTTTACATTTTCGACTTCTACTTGACAACTACAAGCTTGAATGGTTTGATACTTGGTGTATATGTTCTTTAATTTTTGGTAAAAAGTGATATTTGTGCATATTCACAAAACCAAAAATAATGTTCCATGCTTTCAATATCTGAACTGCACCAGTTACATAGTGATGTATCCACTGACCCCCTTACACACAAAATATTTTGAGAACATATAAATCACCCACCGGCTTTGAACCTGGCATTGATAAAATATTGATGTTGCTCAATTTATTTGTATTTTAAAAGATTGTAATTTGTAAACATTTTTCAATTAAATGAAAAAAAAAAAATATTGAATAACTGAGTGTGTGTAGAATGTTGTATGTAAATGAAATACAAATTAAATTTATTATATAATTAGGCCTTCCACCAGCTAGAACACTGTCATGCCCACACAGTCTGACAGTCTTGCATAGGTTTTGGCTTATTTTCGCTATATATAATCCCTTCAGCTTCTCACAATGCAGCATGGCCTTCACTTCCGCATAGCTTTGCGTCAGCTTAACAACAGCTACAAATAAGCTTCGCCTCATTTCTTCAAGTACATGTACAAGTAAATTATTTAATAATCTGCTTCAAAACTTAGCTTAATTATACATGTATAACACATTCATTTAGACAAACCTATCAGCATTTTCATTGACCTACTAGCTGATTGAAATTGACTGGGGAATTTCCAGTTTATTTCCGACCATGCACGATAAAGTGAGTGCCAATCTAAAATTTGTACATTTTTGTAGCTGTATAATTATATGCATGCAATATGACTTTTTGATCTTGATATTTGATTTTCAGCAAAATTCTGACTTGACATAGTGTGGGACAAAATATTTGATTTTCAGCATTATGTATAAAATATAATTATATGATTGTCTTGCGTGCAAAGTAATTCAACATGCCTGTGTTGATGTATAGACTTTAGCAGAGAACATAGGCTGATCTAACATAATAACCCTGTTTTGTGTGCGAGTTACATGTATGGCAGTATATATGTATATGTAGTTATCAAGAGAAATATTCATGTCGCCAACTGCAACTTAGCTTCAAGTTGATCGATAATAATTTCAGCGGTCTTGGTGTTTTGAAAGTTTTGCATGTCCTGGTAGTCAACCCATTGGTTTTGAGTTTATGACAATTACAATGGGAATTTATGGGAAGAGTTTACAGTCATAATTAATGACTGAAAATCCAAATAATTAGTACTGGGAGTCACAGCACAGGGAGAAATTATAGCTTTCGTAATTTTTATGAAAAATCTGCCATCAATGACTGCTGATAAATGTTTACTGAATAATTTATTTCTCCCACAGGTATGCCAGTTTATATTTTTGTTGTGGGATAGAAGACACTGACAATGAGTTGCTGACTCTTGAGATCATCCACAGATATGTAGAATTGCTTGATAAATATTTTGGAAGTGTAAGTACATGTACATATACATGAAGATCTTGATATTTTCTACTGAAGAATTTTAAATTGCATCCTGAATGCTATTTTTTAGCTCTGCTGTCGACTTTGTCAAGCGGAGCTTATCATATGAGTGATTGTCCGTCGCCGTCCGTGTCAATGTTTTACTTTTTCGACTTCTTCTTGAAAACTACAAGCCTGACTGCTTTGATACTTCGTGTATATGTACCTAGGGTAGACCTCTCTCAGATTTGTTCATTTCATGATGATATCTTCAATTCTCTAATTTTGGTGAATATTTTTGTCATTTTTGGTAAAAAGTGATATTTTCGACTTCTTGTTAAAAACCGCAAGTCCAATTGCTTTGATATTATATATATTGGTACTACATGTGGACCTCTCTCAGGTTTATTCATTTCGTGATGATATCTTTAATTCTCTAATTTTGGTGAATATTTTTGTCATTTTTGGTAATAAGTGATATTTTCAACTTCTTGTTAAAAACCAATAGTTCAATTGCTTTGATATTGCGTATATAGATATTACATGTAGACTTTTCTCAGATTTGTTCATTTTGTGATGATATCTTCGATTCTTTAATTTTGGTGAATATTTTTGTAATTTTTTGGTAAAAAGTGATATTTTCAACTTCTTGTTAAAAACTGTAAGTCCGATTGCTTTGATATTACATATATAGGTACTACATGTGGACCTCTCTCAGATTTGTTCATTTTGTGGTGATATTTTCAATTCTCTAATTTTGGTGAATATTTTTGTAATTTTTGGTAAAAAGTGATATTTTCGACTTCTTGTTAAAAACTGTAAGTCTGATTGCTTTGATACTATACATATTGTTCATTTTCTAATGATGTCTTCAGTTCTTTAATTGAAATGTGCATTGCTAACAGCGGAGCTATCTCAGCCGATAGGCTGCTTGTTTTATGTTTAAGAAGAATGTCAATTACTATAATAATTATACATGTGTATGTCCAGGAAGGGTTTGACATTGACAGTTTATGCCTTAGAGGTTTTCTCAGTGTTTATTCCTTAGGGGTATTCTCAATGTTTATGCCTTTGATAGGGGTTCTCAATATAATTTTCCATTTTAATAGATCCAAATACAAATGCAAAATCAATGCAATTCTTGTATGATCAGCAGACAACCTCTCACTGGCCCTATAAGCACTCCTACTTTTGTATAATCTGTAGAAAACTATTTACTGGCCACTGTGAGCATTCTGACCTTGTATGATCTGCAGAGAACCTCTCACTGACCGATGTAAGCATTCCTACCTTGTATGATCTGCAGAGAACCTCTCATTTACCCCTGTAAGCATTCCTACCTTGTATGATCTGCAGAGAACTTCTCACTGACCCCTGTAAGCATTCCTACCTTGTATGATCTGCAGAGAACCTCTCACTGACCCCTGTTAGCCTTCCTATTTTTGTATGATCTGCAGAAAACCTCTCATTGACCCCTGTAAGCATTCTGGCCTTGTATGATCTGCAGAGGACCTCTCATTGACCACTGTAAGCATTCTGACCTTGTATGATCTGCGGAAAAACTTCTGATTGACCTCTGTAAGCCTTCCTATTTTTGATTGATCTGCAGAAAACCTCTCACTGACCCCTGTAAGAATTCCTACCTTGTATGATCTGCAGAAAACCTCTTATTGACCCATGTAAGCATTCCTACCTTGTATGATCTGCGGAAAAACTTCTGATTGACCTCTGTAAGCCTTCCTATTTTTGATTGATCTGCAGAAAACCTCTCATTTACCCCTGTAAGCATTCCTACCTTGTATGATCTGCCGAGAACTTCTCACTGGCTCTTGTAAGCATTCCTACCTTGTATGATCTGCAGAGAATCTCTCATTGACCCATGTAAGCATTCTGACCTTGTATGATCTGCAGAGAACCTCTCATTGACCCCTGTAAGCATTCCTTTTTTGTATGATCTGCAGAAAACCTCTCATTGACCCCTGTAATCATTCCTTTCTTTGTATGATCTGCAGAAAACCTCTCATTGACCCCTGTGAGCATTCCTACCTTGTATGATCTGCAGAGAACCTCTCACTGACCCCTGTAAGCATTCCTACCTTGTATGATCTGCAGAGAATCTCTCACTGACCCCTGTAAGCATTCCTACTATGAATAATCTGCAGAGAATCTCGCACTGACCCTTGTAAGCATTCCTTCTTTTGTATGATCTGCAGAGAACCTCTCATTGACCCCTGTAAGCATTCCTTTTTTGTACGATCTGCAGAAAACCTCTCATTGACCCATGTAAGCATTCTGACCTTGTATGATCTGCAGAGAACCTCTCACTGGCCCCTGTAAGCATTCCTACCTTGTATGATCTGCAGAGAACCTCTCACTGGCCCCTGTAAGCATTCCTACCTTGTATGATCTGCAGAGAACCTCTCACTGACCCCTGTTAGCCTTCCTATTTTTGTATGATCGGCAAAAAACCTCTCATTGACCCCTGTATGCATTCTGGCCTTGTATGATCTGCAGAGAACCTCTCATTGACCACTGTAAGCATTCTGACCTTGTATGATCTGCAGAGAACCTCTCACTGACCCCTGTAAGCATTCCTATCTTGTATGATCTGCAGAAAAACTTCTCATTGACCTCTGTAAGCCTTCCTATTTTTGATTGATCTGCAGAAAACCTCTCATTTACCCCTGTAAGCATTCCTACCTTGTATGATCTGCAGAGAACTTCTCACTGACCCCTGTAAGCATTCCTACCTTGTATGAACTGCAGAGAATCTCGCACTAACCCCTGTAAGCATCCTATTTTTGTATAATCTGCAGAAAACCTCTCACAGGCTCTTGTAAGCATTCCTTCTTTTGTATGAAGTCTGCTTGTAACCTGTTTGTAATTACTTTTTTTTTCAGGTGTGTGAATTAGACATTATTTTTAATTTTGAGAAAGCCTATTTTATGTTAGATGAGTTAATGTTAGGTGGTGAAGTACAGGAAACTAGTAAAAAGAATGTTCTCAAGGCAATTGCTGCACAAGACTTGCTCCAAGAGGTGAGTTATACAGTTTTGCAGCTCATTAATGTATCAGACATTCCAAGAAAAGAGCATTGTATAGTTGTCAGTACACTAATCTTTGTATATCTCTGTATATTTTTTTCTAATTTTATCAGTTGATAGTCATTAATCTTTATAGCATTGCTCAAAATTATTTTAAACTGGAAATGGTAATAGTATACAAATATAGTAAGACTTGGTGCATGCTGCAATTTAGCCCCAGATTGGAATACTTCTGTCCATCATTTCTCATGCATTGTTCGATATTTAATTTTGAATTGTCTTATTTGGCATATTTTGTGTGTAAAACAGAAAACTCTTTGTCTGAAGTGATAAAAAATACCAGCAAATTGTGTTGATAGAATGCTTTTTATGCCATTATATCATGAAACTTACCTACTACACATGAAAATTATCAGCTGATGTGTTGTAGTATCTTCACATATATTATTAAGCTATATTTGTGGGGTTTTGATGCAATGGTTGCCCGGTTTCTTCATTACCCTTAACAGTACCTCCTTGGAATGGTATAAAACAAAAACTGGCATCTTGTGAAAATGGTGGTTGGTAAATCAATATGTCGCTCTGAGCATAGATTGAATAGTTGGTTTGTTGAGGTAGTATATGACAGCCATAAGTTTTTGCAACTGCTAACGGTGATCTCTGAATCACAATCACGTTTCATTATTTTCTAATGGCTTGCTTTGATCTACCTTTTCCTGGAGGATATATGCTACAGCCATCAGGTTCGCATATTCACCTCGAGTTCAGTTCTGGGGTTATTAGTCCCCGTTCGGACACAGTCCGAAAACGGGGACTTATGTTTTGCCCTGTGTGCGTGCGTCCGTGCGACCGTGATCACCTGTATCTCGAACATGCATGGACCGATTAAGTTCAAACTTCACTCATACATCACACATTATATGGGACATATGCACATGCATTTTTTTCATGATACGATTAACGATAGCCGAATAGCGGCCA